TTGAAATATAAAACATACATACCTGTCTTGTGCAGCGTCTGTACCAGCTTGTCTCTCCTGAGCCTCTGACAGTGTTGTTGTACTCTGTTCCTCCTGTGTGACACACCCACCTCTGCTGGGAAAGAGGGCGGCTCTGTTTGACTGTGTAATTTCCTGCATGTTCATAAACTGTGAACACCTGATAAAGCAGGTGAGGTTTGCTCATTACAGTTCAGCTGCATGTCCCAAAAAGGGCAACAAAAGCCACTACATGCGTTTATATTTTTAAAAATGCAAACACACATGTTAGTACCTTAATCCATCTTTATTCTAATGACAGAAAATTAGCAGATGTTCATAGAATGATGTTAAAATGAAAGAAAATTAACTTGCTGTGTCATGACAGTGTTGTGAAATCAGTTACAATGCACTGTAGTTGAATAAACGTTTACCTGATAAGGAGTTCTTTGCATTTATTTTAATGACTTTGGCAAATCATTGATGCAAATTAAACGCTTGCTAAACCCCTTTTCCGAACAGCGTATCTCTAGGTAACTGTAAGAAGGCATGACAGGTCTGTGCTTCTGGATCCAAGTTTGAAAGCTGGTGTCTTTGCTTTTCTAAACCTCTTCAAAATGAAAGACACATGACCTAACCCAGTCAGGGCCCAATTATGTTCCAAACAAACAAATATTGTATATAAATAAATGCAAATGATTCTTTATTGAGACACTTATTATATAATTAAATGTTTTCCGTCCATTCAAATGGACATAGAATCTGAACATGAGAAACCACCTAATAGTAATAATAGCAATGTATGGTCTAAACAGACCATTTTTAATAACCAAAACAGCACGAGTTTATTAATTTTTATGATTTAAACATTCATGAAAAATCAATAGTCATACTTAAAAACACACTGCACATATTTGTTTGTATTGTACAAGTCACAACTTAAACTATTCTCAACTTCTGAAGTAAACAGTACATTCAAAACCTCCTGAGATGAATATTCTTTGTACATAATCAATAAGATGCATTATAAACTGATTGTAACATAGAAAATCAAATCTGATTAGTATTTCCCTATTTATTTATTAATTTTTTTGGTGACATTCAGATCCACCGTCCATTCCAATGGACAGATTTTTTTTTTAAATCCTGAGAAAATGCTGTGAATTTTTCACATTTTTTGACATTTATAAGTAATAAAACATCTCATGTTGAGTTCAAACACAGTTTAAACACAAATTAATTACTTAAACAAAATTAATATTGTGCCTTGCGAATTCTCTTTGCCTCACGCCAAAGTGGGAATTATACTTGTGCATCAGCTCTATGCAGATGCTACGCACGTGGCCTACGACGTTGTGAGCATTCATACTTATGCGTTGGTGTGTCTGTGTCACTCTGCAGTTACACCTCCAAAACACTAGTAGGCGGCGGAGGTTTCTGTGAAGTGCTGTAACGTTTAGTTGATACAAAACACACAAGCCATGTTTCCATCAGCCTGTTTAGATGCGCATCTAGAAGTATCGCATCGGAAAATTATGATGGAAACACCAGAATTCGAATTAAAATCGCCTGATTCACACAGACTAAAATACGCTCGCTCTAGCCGGGTTTTGGTTGATTCGAAAAAATGTTGATTAACAAAACGGGGGATGGAAACAGTAATGTTCGAATTAAGTCTGACGTAGTGCACCTCTCTCCATGGTGATATCCACACTCTGGGTCGGGAAGGCGGTAATGCATTTACAAGCTGGCTGCCAACTGCCAGAAAACGTAGAAGGAGAAGAATGCGAGACTTGTTTTGTTTCCGGTTCTGCGGAAAACTCGTGCGAGTTCGTAGTTTTCACCAAAGTCCGTACATTTAATGGAAACACACAGGATTCGTATTTCTTTTAATGCGCATTTCCCAATGATTCGAATCACTACAGATTAGCCTAGCGACGAGTGGAGATTTCCTCTGCTCATATGAAGCCAGGATAAATCACACACAAGTCTTAAAATGCTGTTTTTGTGGAGGCTTTATTGTCTTCACAATTTATTGTTTCTTATCTGTGAAATTAAAGTAAATAAAAGCTTTGTTTCCACTGAGGGAAATGGTTTCAGCTTACAGAAAGAGACAGGAGGTCTGTGTCACCATGACGTGTAGTTACATTCTGGGGAGGTGCACGTCAGGCTATGGCACATAGATGTAGAGCGTAAAGCATTCACCCAGGTGTTGTGTTTCCATCAATGCCAATCAGAGACGGAGCTGATAAATACCCATGACTACTGCAGAGTCATTTGACCTGGGTGTGAATGCCAATTTGAACCTTTCCCATTACATTAAAAAGCCGGCTGACAGCGAGTGTAAGTGGCAGTGGCAAAGGGGCATTAGTGTCTACAGGAGTAACTGAATGCATCAAAGCTAATACACTCCACACCACAGTGATCCTGACTGTCACTAAAATTTACATAACTAGCTTTAGCATTAGCTATTGTTATTTCCCAGCAGCTATTATGATCCCAGCGCATCTAAATCTACCTTTTATTTCAAAAACTGTAAATGTATGCAATTGTAAAGACTGTGGAATTTTAATATCATGAATAAGGAGACACTTGAATAAACTCACTCTTATAAAAACTCTGTGTACAGTACTCTGAGGAAAAAAAATAGATATACATTTTCAAGTTTGAATCATTCGGAACAAAAAGAAAGAAGAGGGAAGTCCCAGGACAAACAATCGGGATTACTGAGTGGTTGATTGGTACCCACGAGGGAGAGGAGTTATAGTTTTTCCAAAAAATCACTAGATTTGTCTTAGGTGCTTTTTTATTTGGAAAAAAGTCACTTGAGAGGTCTAAGGCCTTGTTTACACAGATACAGATACAAATAAAAACAGATTTTTATTTATCCCATATAAAAAAAATTCAGGTTTACACGATGAGTTATGAAAACAATGTCCTTGTTTACACAAAAAGGCAAAAACGGCAGCTTCTTGCTGCAATTAGCATGCTAGGCCAGTAGGTGGCGATACACCATTTGTCAAACACCATAGAAAAACATTCTGCGCATGCACAGTGCTTTGTTTTTTCTCTTGGCGCTAGTGATAAAAACAATGATAAACTACATTTTAACCTTTATGTAGCATAGTTAGGTGCTATGCACTTACTAATATTGTGCACAGAAGACGTCTTTGTGCGTCGATGTAGCGGTGATGTTGATGCAGCAGTGCTAAGTTTATTTGTAAGCTCGTAAGTAGTCCCAAAAGTGTTAACAAAACGTAAACAACCCGGCATATAGCCGCCATTGCTGTTGTGGTTACCAGGCGATTAATGGGCATGCGCGAACTGGGTTGCATTGTCATAGTTTTCCAAAATCTCCATCTTTCCTGTTTACACATCTCCATAGAAATGGATATTTTTAAAAACTTTCACTATGGAAACCGTTTTTTGAAAATCTGTTTTCGTCGAGAAAAACGCTGGTTATGTGTCAATTTTAGGTGCAAACACAAAGATAAATACCGTTTTTAGAAATATACGGAAACGTATAAACAGGCTCTAAACCCTTTTTAAAATGATGGACTGTTGTTTCAATTATCCAATTTAAATCCATCTAAAATACAAAATGTGGTAGCTACAGCAGTTGTTTTGGCAGCAGAAAGCTACCTTATGTACGGTGCGAACATGGTGACAGTGCCCTGTGGCGCTGGCATTTCCCCATAATGACCACAGGAGATCCTTGTTTGCATAATCCTGTATATATCAATCTAGAATAAAAATCTTAACAGCTAGAATATTAATTCTCTTTGCAGCAGAAAGCTAAGGCTCCTGTCCTCCGTGTCATCATGCTGTACGCTCGTGATGACATTGTTACATAACATGTGGTGCAAAACTGCGCAGATAACTAATAATGTTAATGCTAATAAAAACAAGCATATCTTAAAAAACTAAATAATATACATAGTTCAAATATTGAGAAATTTAGAAATCTTTTGTATCAGAATGTTTTATGTGTATTTTTTTTTAATTATTTAAATTGATTTCAATACTTTTATCTATAATTATGGTTTATTGACTTATATAACCTTTTTGTCACAGCTCGAGTTCCTTCGCTGTTTTTTTTTTGTATTTCATTCCTTCATGGTGTTTCCTGTTTTACTTTGAAACTCACATCTCCTCTGGTTTCAGATCACTTCACTTCCTGCCCCTGTGTGTTTTCCCTCCCTTTTGATGACTTCACCTCTGTCTGATTGTCTGATTAGCCTCACCTGTGTCTCGTTATCCTCCAGTGCCAGTTCATCATAGCTCCTTGTGTGTCTAGCATTCCAGCCTTTTGTTTCGCTGTGTTTTTTCCTTGTTTTGTTTTTTTCTTTAGCCTGTTAATTGACTCTGCCTCATCCCTATTGGATTTGTTTGCCTCCACTGATTGTCCTTCTGTGTACCGAACCTACGTTTTGACCAGTAAAGACTGTTAAGGCCCATTTATGCTCAACGTTAAATACGGATCCGGATACGGACGGAGCCTTCTGTCCATGCTCCGCGTTCATTTCGTCCGTATTTCTGCACGTTTCCATAAAGCTTACGGATACGGGCCAAACGGAGCAGTACCACCGGAAACCGTGGGGACAGTTTTGCTGTCACTACCCGATATGTAGCTCTAGTGAGACACAAAGAAGAAATAACAATTCAGTTTCTCTCATCGGCAGTACTAGAGAAAAGAATTCTCCGTCTTCCAGTCGCGATGTATTTAACGGCCTCACCGACCACCGCCTCCTACAACGCTGCCTCTGTTTTTGTCTTTTATGCAAGAGGTACATTATCAATATCTCCTCCACAGTCGCCATGTTTGTTTTTGAGTTTGTTGTTGTCATAAACTTTTGACTCTGGGCTGCCTCCTGGTGGATATATTGGTTAACATCCATGCCAACGTAAAGGGCGCATGGAAGTATGTGGGCAGTGGCGGTAGCATCGTTTGAAACGGACGTATACATTTTCGTACGTAAAGGGAGCATAAATGGGCCCTTTTTGTATCTGAACTGTCTCCAGAGTGGTGCATTTGAGTCCACTCTCACCTGGGTCACCAGTTGTTACAAGTTTAGCTTAGGTTGTACAGGTTTCAGGGACATGAAGTATTTGAAGATACCTTTGAAGGTCCTTATACGAGTTGTGAGGTTTGACCTAACAATTACTTTATGCTGTTTGGTTATTCTTCAGCATGTTGAGGGAAGTGAATGAGAGAAAGAACAGATGCTTCTTCTTACATAGGGGTAATAACTAAAGGCTTTGGTTTCTTGACCCAGCTGTACAGATAGAAGTATGGGAACAGTTTCTCTGAGAAAGATTCTCCGGTGAAGGAGTAAATGTGCAACTTCCTGTCAACATCAAAGAAAGAGACTCTGCCTTCATTATAGTCCAAATACACTCCCACGTTGCTTGGTCTGGGACACAGATGGAGGGCTGCATAGGTTGTACAATGAACTTCATAATCGAGGCCCCTCTTTCCTATGGCAAAGAAGCCATTTTCTCTTTTCAGGGTTATCCTCCCTTTTTTGGTAATGGTCTCCTTTGCAACGCCGACGTCCCAGTCTGTTCTCAAGCCCACTTGGACTTCCCAATAGTGACGCCCAGAGGTGAAGCCCTTCGTCCCTAAAATCATGGGTTGGTTGAACCTGTCTGGGTCGTCAGACCATGGGGGGCTTGCAGCTTTGTTGTACTTCAAACATTTCCCATGGTCGGACACCACAAGGTAGCTGCCAGCTGTAGCTGAGTCAAAGGTGACGGACTCTGAGGAAATGAAGTTCAGTTAAAGCGCTCATACTTCATAATAACTTATCAGAAAAGTGAGTACAGTGTATTTATGATCTCACCTTTATATTGTCTCATCCTGGTTAGTTCTGACACAAGTAAAAAAAAAAAACACACCTCAGTTATGGAAACTCATAAAATGGAGACATCCTCAGTGATGAAGCAAATGCAGCTGATCCTTACCCGTGTCTGTCAGAGTTTTCAGTTCTGATTGGAAAGTGTGCACAAGATGAGTCATGGCTCTCCTCAACGTCTGCACATACAGGTCTGAGTAAACCCTGATCTTAGACCAGTCCTTGGTGTCTGATGTGGTGCTCAGGCCCAACAAAGTCTGCAGTGATTCACAAACACATGATCATGAGTGGCACAGGGTTATATTTAATCTCTTTTTAAAGCCAACCAGCTGCACCCAAGCAGACATTTTGTTGTAGTCATTTGTCTTGACACATGTATAACACAGCACAAAGACTGGAAACTGAGGGAAACCACTTGTCTCACCCTGTCTTGTAGTAAATCCACCTGCCAGCACCTCTAATGGGATGTTATACTTCTGCATTGAATCGATGCTGTACCTACAGCTACGGCGTACCCTACGACTCCACAAAATAGCATTTTAAGTCTTATGTGTGAGATATCCTGGCTTCATATGAGCAGAGGAAATCTCAGCTCATTGCTAGACAAATTTATACAATGTAAAATGCCATAGGCTTGTGCTAATAACGTTAGCATGTTATATTTGTTTGGAAAAAACATGAGACAGTTGTATTGTCAGTGAACCTTGTGAGCTGTAATGGAGCAGAACTTTGTAACGTTTCCTTTGTTAAATCTTGCTGTTGTCCCTGGTTTCATATGGGTAGAGGAAAAGTCTGCTAGCTGCTAGGCTAATTTATACAATGTAAAATGCCATAGGCTTGTGCTAATAACATTAGCATGTTATATTTGTTTAGAAAACGTGTTTAGTATAAGAGTTGTTTTGTCAGTGAACCTTGTGAGTTGTAATGGAGCCGAACTTTGTACCGTTACCTTTGTTAAATGTTGCTGTTGTCCCTGGCTTCATATGAGTAAAGGAAAAGTCTGCTAGCTGCTAGGCTAATTAATACAATGTAAAATGCTATAAGCTTGTGCTAAAAACATTAGCATGTTGTATTTGTGGGGAAAATGTGTCCAGATAAGTGTTTTGTCTGTGAATGCTGCGAGTTATAGTGAAGCTGATTTGTGTACTTGTGTTTGAAATTGACTCTATTAAGCCATGTTTAATGTGTGTTTAATGTGTGTTTTGAATCAACTAAACTTTACAGCACTTCACAGAAACCTCCACCGCCGACTAGTGTTTTGGAGGCGTAACTGCAGAGTGACACAGACACACCACCGCACAAGTAATGCTCACAATGGCGCATTGACTGACCTGCAGAAGGTAAAAGTAGTCATCACTTTGTGAAAGCTCCTCCAGCACACAGTGCTTCCCCTGCAGTTGGCTGATTTCCTCCTGCAGTTCTCCAATCATTGCTTCATCTTTCTCTTGGGATTTTTGGAGCTTCTTTTTGATATTAGATCTCAGTTTTGTTTGTGCCACTTGTACATGATTTATCAGAGTGTTGAAGAGCTTATCACTGTCATCTATCTCCTCATTTGCTTTTTCCTATAAAAATAAAATGTCATTAGCATCGATTTTTCTACGTATTTATAAGTGTGCAAAAAAAATTCCAAGTACTCACTTTGCTCATTTCAGAAGAGTGGGTGAATTCCTTTATCTTTTCCATCCTGTCATCAATCATCAACTTGATGTTTGCCATCTTGGACTCAATGTTTTCCTAAAATAAAAAACGTCATTGAGCCGGTCACTCCTTTATTTAGGGTTCAGTTTATTCTGAGGTATTTAACAAAATACTTACTTTCTGCCGAGCCCCTTCTTCTTCAACAGGCACCATGTCGTGGTTTTTGTGGTCCGTCTCACTGCACAGCAGACAGATACACACCTGTTCCTCCCTGCAGAAAACCTCAAGGATCCTCTGATGCTTCTCACACACCCTCTCCTCCAGATTCTCCACCGGGTCCACCAGCTTGTGTCTCATCAGGGAGGGAACTCTCTGGTGAGGCTCCAGGTGGGCTTCACAGTACGACGTCAGACACAACAGGCAGGACTTCAGGGCCTTGAATTTGATCTCTGAGCAAACATCGCACTTCACCTGCCACGGTGCATCAGCGCTGCTTTCAGGTTCCTCAACTTTCCTTTTCTTGATGCAGACTGAAATCTCTTCGATGACTGTGTTTGTGGAGATCTCGGGCCTTATGTGGAATCTTTTATGACACACCGGGCAGCTGCATAATTCACTCTGGTCCCAGTGCTCGCTCAGGCAGGTCTTACAGAAGTTGTGACCACAAGGTGTGGTGACCGGGTCGCTGAACACGTTCAGACAGATCGGACACTGGAAATGATTCTCCGGCAATGAAGCAAGGACACTGAAGGAAGACATTATGGAATCTCTGTGGGAGAGAATGCAATTTTTATGCTTTATATATCTGTGTTTTAGGGCATGTTAGCAGCATGTGTAACATGACATTACATCACGTTTGCCTTACACTGAACAGAGACACAAAAGCTGCAAAAAAAAGAGCCAAAAAGTTAGATAAAACCTTGAAATCAGATCTATTTTTAGGCTGTTTACAATGCAAATCCAGACCCGCCCAATGACTCACATTCACATGAATCGACTTGCATATTTTAATTCTGCATCACATTCTTGCAGTTCTGTATTCTAAGATTAAAAACAACAGAAAAACATCAAAATGTGTTTAAAAAAATGACTCACCTGACTCCCCGTAGTTCTTCTGCCACTTCCAGAGGCCTAAACTGTCTCTCACATGCAGAACCATACACTGTAAGTATAGCACAACAGACAATTCAATACTCATCATCTCGAGACGAGCACTGAGAGGCTGAGGCGGCTCCAGTTACTGTAGTGGGTGTGGTCAAGTGACATAATTTTACTGAAATGAAACTTAAAGTATTTCCCAAAAGTCCATGTAGCCAGAAATAGTGACCTTTGGGAATGTTTGAGAGAACATTTATTGTCATGAATCATGAACACACTTCTCCTCAGCATACAACCTTTACAGCATCAATCACACTTTATTAAAAATCAACATGCAATCATGAAATCAGGGAAATAGAAACTACACTTTGTTTGATGTTTTGAAAGTCATGCATTAAGAGGACTAGTTTATTTTAGGAAATATGCTTGTTCACTTTCTTGCTGAGAGTTACATGAGAATATTAAAACCACTGTTGTGTCTGTATGGTAAATATTTTTAGCTTGACATGAAGACCGGAAACAGGAAGAAACTGCAAGCCAGGCTCTGTCCAGTTGTAAATCCACCCACTAGCAACTCTACAGTTCATGAATTATGTGGCATTCTACAGTGCTGAACAGTGAAGCTAACGTGGACATGATAAAAACTGCAGTTCCTCTAATGGCCACTTGAGGCTGGCTCCAGAAGTGAGTCAATCCCCATAGACGCCCATGTTAAAGTGATAGTTCAGGTTTTTGGACATTAAGTTGTGTGAAACGCTGACCATCTGTAGCTCTGATGTGACGGTGTCACTACTCTCAACGAGACTCCTGCTCTGAGAAATCGCCCGTAGCTTACCGGAGAAAAAGTCGTTCTGAAGATGTACGGGGGACACGTAACCAAAAGGTTTTAAGCTACAATAAAATACGCATGTGTTTTGTTAGACTATTTCAATAATTTTAAAACATCCCCGCATTACGTCAGACTTTGCTATCAATTGGGACTATTTTCTGGCCAGTCACTCCGCCATGCAGGCCCGCAAAACAGCACGGCAACAGAAATCAATTAGACAGTTCAACACCATGCCGTGCAGGTGCGCAGGATAGCAATGGCTAACGAAAATTTCATCGGCTGTTTCCAAGAGAGAACCAGTAGGCTATTATTAGTGAGGAAAAAGATGTACTAGCCCTATTTATACCTACTACTACAGCGCAAACACCGGCTCAGGCTCACGACACACCCTCGTCAGCTGCTGTAGGTAAACAGAGGAACACCAAAATGGTGCGAACTTGTGATTTCCCCAGCTGTGGGAATAAAAACATCGCCGGCTCCCAGTTCCATCGGTTTCCTGTTACATTTGTAACCCGTAGGCAACTCTGTCTTGCGGGCCTGCACGGCGGAGTGATACTGGCCAGAAAATAGTCCCATTTGATAGCTAGGTCTGACGTAATGTTGGGATGTTTTAAAATTTTTGAAATAGTCTATCAAAACACATGCATATTTTTTTGTAGCTTAAAACCTTTTGGTTACGTGTCCCCCGTACATCTTCAGAACTACTTTTTCTCCGGTAAGCTACGGGCGATTTCTCAGAGCAGGAGGCTCGTTGAGAGTAGTGACACCGTCACATCAGAGCTACAGATGGTCAGCATTTCACAGAACTTCATGTCCAAAAACCTGAACTATCACTTTAACATTTTTTTGCCCTTCAACAACAAACCCATATGGTTAGGTTTTGCCAACAACTGCACATGGTTTACTTTAGGCAACAAAAAAACAGAAACCCTTTTGTTGTTGTCCTGATGCCTTTCTTCCTGACTCCACCGAGTGCCGTTAAACAACAGGTAACGGCTACATATCATGCTGATGTGAAAGAACTGCCTTTCTCATCACTGTCTGATGGCGGAAGCCACTGACTAAGTGGCGGTTTTCAACGACTTTGATGTAAGACCGGGTTGAACATTCATGACAACTGTGCAGGGGGGATTAATTTATTCATAACTCCCCCATTTACATTTTATTAAGGCTAAAAGTTATGTGTAATTAAGGGTGAGGCCACTTTGAGTGACAGGCTGTCTGCGAGGCATTGCTACCAATCAAATCAGATGAGTCAGATCCATCCCTTGCTCCTCCACGGCTACGCCCTCTCGTTCAAATATGGTCACCTCAGGCTACAAAAAAACCAAGATGGCAACATCCAAAATGCCGAAATTGAGGCTTCAAAACAGTCAAAACAGCAGTCCACAAACCAAGGGCTGATGTCACACTAGTTATACACACACTAGTTTTATACAGTCTATGTAGTTATCATGTCAAATCGTGTTTGTTTAATCCATACAAAACATGAAGAAATATCCTTGAACATAACAGCCCCATTAATGCTAAGCTAAGCTAACTGCCTGCTAGATTTAGTTTACAGCTATGACAGTGGTAATGATTATCTAAAACTGCAATTCTACCACACACATCACGTAAAGGACCTTCATGTTGTGTTCACACCTGGTGCAAATAAAACAATTCGTGTGAGTGAATTACATAAATGACAGGTCAATGTACAAACATGATTAGACCCAAATTCCCACTGGGCAGCGCAATGGACGCAAAGCAAATTAAGCTGCAGGAATGAAGCAAGTGGCGCGATTTTGTGTCATGCTTATTTGCAAAAGCTAAAAAAAAATAGGAACTTTGGAGACCGATTTGCACTGCGATAGCCAATCAGCATTGAGATTCACTAAGGATGTATTCCGTTGAGGATGTACCGGAAGAATTTCATTAATCGATTCAGCGATTTCATTGTCATATGATTTGAGTTATTCATGCATATGACGCGAGTTAACACAAAATATTCTAGCATTCAAACTTGTGCTAATAATGGGATGTGAAAATTCATTGTGTTGAACACACCATAAGAACCATACATAACCCTTACAGACATGTAAACGTAGATCTGTTGCATTTCCACCACAGACAGTACTTGTTACTAAACGGCAATAGCCATGTCCCTGCTCCATCGAGCTCTTACTGTATTCCCTCTTCCTTGGCTCAGAATGGAATGGTTCTATTGGTACCATCCCCAACTTTAGACAACGGAAACGCAAAAAATGTGTATGTTTTAATGTCTAACAAACAAACTGAACCAGATGTCTTGATGGCAACAAGGCTCAACCCTCAGAAAGAAAGTGAAGATACATATTTCCTGAAATGTTGAACTATCCCTTTAAGGCTTTGTGGAACCTTCATGATCTGACATGAATACGTAATGTGTACAAATTAATTTGTTGAACTGAATTATACATCTAATGAACATACACAAAACATAAAACAGAGAATTTCATCCAAACAGGTTTGGCTACAACAAATCACAGTCAGTTTTCACCTTCAGTGTTTTTACTGTCAAACTTTGTCCTTAGCTTTGCTTGATCACAGTTTTTTCATTCACAGGACAAATCACGAGGGTATCAGAAGCTTTGTCGCAGCAGTACAGGTAGAAAAAGGGTAAGATCTTCTCCATGAACTTATCTTTGAATGTGTAAATATGAGTCCAAGCTCTCACATCATAAAAGGACACTTGCCCCTCCTCGTAGTCCACGTACACACCCACTCGCTTGGGCTTGGGGTTGAGGGTCAGAGCTATTGGCGGAGATGTTGACACCCGGTACCCTTGGCCTTTCTTCATGGCAAGAGCCCAGTATCCCTGGGTGGTGCTTACAGAGATCCTGCCCTTTCTGTTGACAGAAGACCTGGCTACACCCATGTACCAGTCATCCTTGTCCCCCACCTGAACTTCCCAGTAATGTCTCCCTGAGGTGAAGCCCTCGCGGCCCAGAACAATGACCACTGTGTCGAAGCGTTCAGGATGGTCTGGGAGGTCCTGCCATGCACCCAGGTGTCTCACCTGACGTCTGTCCTGAGAAAGCTGCAACCACGGGTTGGCTGTGTCAGGGTCCAGAGTGACATCCACTGCAGAAACACGAGACATAAAGGATTTGTGGTTGGCTGCAGTTGGAGAGTTTTTTAAAAGGATTATAGCAAATGCAAAAAAATAGTTTACCTGTATATTTGGCAATCTTCTTGATCTCTGTAAGAAGCAAAAGATGAGATTCATTTAAAATACACCATCTCGAGCTCTCATCTTATAATCAGAATGAATAAATATATAAGAATGTCAAAGGAAGTCGTACCACTTTCAGACAGTTTTTCAATCATTTCATTCAATGTTGCCTCCAGTTTGGACACGGCTCTCCTGATCATGCCTACACATATGTCAGTGGGAACACTGGTCTCAGACCAGTCTTTGACAGAGGGAGGAGTGCTGAGGGCTGGGTAGCTCTGCAGAGAGATGGAGCACAAGAAATGACTCAGAAACAAGTTCACTGAAGGTGCAGCCAGCGATTCTAATCCAGGGAAGAAGTATCTCCTCATGGTCCGCTAGCTGTCCCCGCATTCTCACTCCCAATTTATCAATCCTTTTGGTCAGTGGTCCTACATGTCAAACTATGACACTCTAGGTACCCTTCCAGTGTCCGTTTTGGAGGTTCAGGCATACATGTCAATTTCCACTTGTTACATGAATCAATTTTCACAGGAAATGTACAGATCCATCTATTTTCCATCCACAGGGGCAGCAGGCCAAGCAAAGCACCCCAGACGTCCCTCTCCCCAGCAACACTTTCCAGCTCCTCCTGGGGGACCCCAAGGCGTTCCCAGGTCAGACAAGATATGTAATCCCTCCAACGTGTTCTGGTTCTGCCCTGGGGCGTCCTACCAGTGGGACGTGCCCGAAATAGTTCTAGAGGGAGGCGCCAAGGAGGCATCCTGATCAGCAGTCCGAACCACCTCAACTGACCCCTTTCGACGCGAAGGACCAGCAGCTCTACTCAGAGCTCCCTCCGAATGTCCCAGCTCCTCACCCTATCTTTAAGGCTGAACCCAGCCACCCCACGGAGGAAACTCATTTTGGCTGCTTGTATCCTCAATCTCATTCTTTAGGTCTGTACCCAGTGTTCATGACTAGCGCAGCGTCTGCAGTGATGTGGGGGCTGTGTCAGATCGTCATGGTGAAGAGAGCTGAGCTTTCGATTAACTGATCCATCTATGTCCCAACCCTCACCTATGGTTATGAGCTCTGGGAAAATGTACAGATGACGCCTGTTAAATGCACACGGTCTCCTTCAAAATAAACTGGGTACTTGCAAAGATGTTCAGATGCCTAACATCTCAGTCGTAGACGGACTGGATTCTGAAATAGAGATCTGATACCCAACTATGCCCAATAAAACAAATGCTCTCCCTTACCTTTAAGAAGTGAATATGGTCGGTCCGAGCCACGTTTTCTAAATCTGTATTCCTCCTCTTCAGTTCGACGATTTCCTGCTCCAGTTCAGCGATGAGGCCTCCAGCCCACCTCTCCGTCTGCCTCTGCTTCTCCTCAATGGCCAAAACCAGCTCGCTCTGAGTCTTCTGGATGGAGCGCACCAGCTCTGAGAAGACCTGCACACTTTCCTCCACCTCTCTCTGAGCGCTGGCCTGAACATACAGACAAAAATATAATGAATAATAATCTTGATGTCAATATATTTACTACTAGCATTGTACCAGGAAACAGTTTGTAACTCACTTTGTTTTGTTGCACCGAGTGTTTGATCTCCTCCACCTTCTGCACTCTGTCCTGGATCATCTGCTGGACGTCTATTTCTGTCCGCTTTAGCTGCGCCTGCACAACATGATTTCACACATGTTCATGACATGCTTACAAATGATATCTATAGCTCTACTTCTACAGATGTAATTTAGTCCTGGCTTCAGATACGAAACACATGGCACTGCTCAATGCCCATGGAGCTTGTATTGGGATTTCTTCTACCACAGTAAAAAGTGTCAGTTAGCAGATACGTGTTGTCATCTGGGTCAAATATATATATTTTCTGCACTTTTATTTATCTGTGTTACTGTCTCACACTGAGTGTCTCTTTGTCTCTGTGAGGAAACTTCACTGGGATCAAACTGTCTATACATGTGAAAGGTGTATATCACTAATCAAATAACTCCACGAATGTGGTTTCTACCTTGAAAGCTGCTCCAATGACAGATATTTGTCCAACTAAAGCTTTGATTTTTCATCTGTCTGACCTTTTTCTCTGTCCACTCCCTCTCCACGGGGACGGTGTAGTGCGCCCTGTGGTCCGTCTCGGTACAGAGCACGCACACACAGGTCTGATCCTTCTTACAGAACAGCTCCAGAAGCCGTTGGTGCTTCGGACACATCCTGTCCTCCATATTGGCAACGGGCTCCATCAGTTTGTGCTTGGTGAACCTGGACGAGTGAGATTTCAGGTGCTCCTCGCAGTAGGAAGTCAAACACACGAGGCAGGATTTGACTGCTTTTGGCCTGCCGTTACCCAGGCAGACATCACAGAGGACTTCCTCCCACAGAAGAGGTGGGAGTGAAGAGGAGGGAGGTGGAGGTGGGGTTTGAGGTGTTGGAGAAGCAGCGATTTGAGGCGAGGGTGGAGGTGATGTCTGGGGCAGAGGAGGCGGTGGCGGACCCTGAGCTGTGACTTTGGGTGATCGTGGAGGAGAGGTTCTGGGCGGTGGCACAGGGGGGATCAGCGGTGGTAACTCCTCTTGTGATGGCATTTTCTCTGCTTTCTTGCTCTTCTCCTCCTCTTGCTTCTGCTTCAGCTCCTCCAGCACCTGCTGCATCTGATCTTTCTCCAAAAGCCTCTCCTCATCCTCCTTTTTCTTTCTCTCCATCGTCCACTTCCTTTCTCCCTCGACTTCCTTCTCCTTGCTCACCTTTTCCTCCGCACTTCTAACCCTGATCTCCTTGAACTGCTCTGCGATCTCCCTCAGGACCGTGTTAACACTAATATCGGGCCTTTTGTAGAAAGACTTCTTACACATAGGACACTGGTACAATGGGCTGGTTTTCCAGTATCCCAGGATGCAGCTCTGGCAGAAGTTGTGTCCGCAGGGGATGGATACAGGGTTGGTGAAGACGTCCAGACATATGGAGCAGTGCACCTGCTCTTCTGAAAGGTTCCCAGTAGAGGCCATTCCTGCACGGCGGAGAGGCAGGGTCATTTTCAGCGCAAGCAATGGGGCTCTGAACGGGGCATCAAACCTGCTGTGATATTGAGGTCGCTCGGGTTAGATGGCGGGATTTTATTTGGGGTCATTTTCATGCAAACTTACCAAGCAAAGCATGACAGGACTCATTTATCATCACAAGTTCAAGCCAAAAACATAGGTTCAATTGAAGGTTGTACACTGTAACATTAAATTAAACTGTTTTTCTTTCTTTCTTTCTTTCTTTCTTTCTTTCTTTTTTTTTTCTTGCTTTTGTAATAAATGAGCCCTTATGAGTCTTGGGGGAGTGTTGTTAATTTTTGGGTTATTTAAAAATTCTTTTTTAAGTTTCTTAAGCTTGACTGATAACAGATTTTTGATGCTGATCTGATAACAATCCTCTGACATTCAATTTGAATACAAACACACAACATAAGCAAACATTTTAAAAAAGGATTCCTCAAAATTAGGCCAAAATATACACTGGGTGATATTTTACAGCTGGAGAAATAAACTTGCAATGTAATTGCAACACTGTTTTTAATGTCCCTTCAAAAATATTTTGAAATGTACTGCAAATATTCATATTTATATGAACCACTACCAGTATATTTGATATATTTGTGATAATCTAATCTATGTATGGCTAATTTTGGCTACTAGAAATCAAAATTTTAACTTAAATCTTTGCTTTGTAGACAAGACATTTTATCTTTACTTTAAAGGTCCAGTGTGTAGGATTCAGAGGGATATATTAGCAGAAATGGAATACAATATAATAAGTATGTTTACTTGAGTGTATAATCACCTGACAATAAGAATCATCGGGTTTTCCTGACCTAAGAATGAACCGTTTATATCTCCAATTGGAGCGTATCCTCATCCATGGAGATCACCAAGTTGTGCCACCATGTTTCTACAGTATCCCAGAATGGACAAACCAAACACTGGCTCTAGATAGGGCTATTCATGTTTTTTTCATGTCAGCCATTGTAGTGGAGCAGTGTCACAAACTTTTTTTAATGTAAAACTGTTTTTTCAGTGTTTTAGCACCTTAAATCACCAGGTCCGTTTGTTTTGGAGAGGGACAGTCCTATGCAGATAATGCAGGATCTATTTTTGTAAGCTGAAACCATTTCCCTCAGTGGAAACGAAGCTTTTATTTACTTTAATTTCACAGATAAGAAACAATAAATTATGAAGACAATAAAGCCTCCACAAAAATAGTGTTTTAAGTCTTGTGTGTGATTTATCCTGGCTTCATATGAGTGGAGGAAATCTCTGCTTGTCGCTAGGCTAATTTATACAATGTAAAATGCCATAGGCTTGTGCTAATAACGTTAGCTTGTTGTATTTGTTTGGGAACTTGTTTCATATAAGACAGTTTTTGTCAGTGAACCTTGTGAGTTGTAATGAAGCTGAATTTTGTAACGTTTCCTTTGTTAAATATTGCTGTTGTCCCTGGCTTTATATGAGCAGAGGAAAAGTTTGCTAGCTGCTAGGCTAATTTATACAATGTAAAATGCCATAGGCTTGTGCTAAAAACATTAGCATGTTGTATTTATGGGGAAAATGTGCTTTGTCTGTGAATGCTACAAGTTATAGTGAAGCTGATTTGTGTACTTGTGTTTGAAATTGTCTCTATTAAGCCATGTTTAATGTGTGTTTAATGTCTGTTTGTGTGTTTTGAATCAACTAAACTTTACAGCACTTCACAGAGAACCTGCTGCCGACTAATGTTTTGAAGGTGTATAAGTACTTGCTCACACCGGCGTAGGCTACAACTTAGGCTCTGCATAGAACTGATGCACAAGTATAAATCCCACTTAGTTCGGCTCCCAGTAAAACTCTCCTGAACGTCTGGAGCTCAAATTATAAGAAAAAAAAGGTTAGCACACATTAGCAGGTGCTTGGCTAGCGGCTCTTCCGTAACGAGCCCAACAGTGATGAGAAGCTGCTTTATTCTGTGATTTTAGTGGTTTAAGTCACCTGGTCCATTTGTTTTGGAGAGAAGGACACCTCTGCGGACAGTTCAGCTCCCCGTAAAAAAAACTCCCAAACAAAGAACACTGAAAGAATTGTAAGCAGGAGAAGTTTCAACTGGTTGCAAACTGCAATCCATACCACTAGATGCGCCCAAATCTCCCTAATCTTACTGGAGCTTTTAAAGTTACTTCAAACATATTTTTGTATTTACTTCAAATATTCGTAGTGACAGCAGACATACGCCACTACCAATACATTTGTGATAATATTGGCTACTACAAAAGAGTCTCGTGTTGCCTCAGACCTTTCAGCTTGTTGATTTACGTCTTTACTTGAGCTTCAAGCTAAATATATCACTGGTGTTTAATTAGTTTAAAGGCAGCATGAGTTTGACTTTTAACACAAGCAGCTCTCTGCTTGAGGCCTGGATATTCATGGCACACCAGATTAGCATCTATCCAAAAATATTACTGTAGTAACTGACCTGTCTTGCTGTGCTTCCATGCTCTTAACAATAATCTGACATATTTTGACATGAAAACGCTTTATGCCCTAAGAAATACAAACTTGTAGCTACAATTGAAGTCTTCTGTTGGATTTGAACTGCAACAACAAAAAGGTTGTAGCTCATGTCAGAGCTCTTAAACAGCCAAACAGTAATGACAAAATAGAAACAGCACTCCCCTAAGAGACCTAATAATGCATAGAGAAGCAGATGTGACAGTATAGAAATGAAAACGCAGGACAGGACCGACAGAAAAGCAGAGATATGGGGACACTCACCAGAGAGCAGCTGCCTCAGGGCTCCGCTTGTACACTGACACATGAGACAGGTGGTTACCACTGCCACCTCCAACACACACACACACACACACACACACACACACCTCAGACCCAAAATACACCCCCCTCCCTCTCTTTTTACCCCAGATACAAATTTATACCCCCTGGCCATGGCCCTCAGAGCCCCAGGAGGAAAGACTTTAACCCTTTGGACAGCAGTTCAGACGTAACAACAAAAGAAGTTCCAGTTTGTTAAAGCTCATTATGTTTGACTTCTGTTAAGAGAGTCTGAAGTTGAGTCCGTGTTGATCCTCAGTGGCTATAACTCTAGTTTTTTTTAAAGGCACAATCTTTTATTTGTGTAATTTGAGATGTTAAAAAGATTATGAGCTTTAATTTGGTATCGCAGGGCTAATCTAATGTTTGTCTGGTGTATCTGCTATTTTGTCCAACTCCTGCAGGTGGGGCTATTGCTTTATATTATGGCGATGATTTGACCTCCCAAGGTGGTCTGATTTCGGTTGGCTTCAGAGGGGTCTGAGTGCTCTTGGAGTGTTCACAGATGCGCAAAAAATGCTGAGTCACTGCTCTGAGTCTGCTTAGAGGGCTGAAAAGGACCAAGTGTGAAAACACTCTTAATGTCTAGTGTTTGTTTTCAGTCTGTCTCTATGTGGCCTTCTGGTTCCTCATGAGTTCCTCTGAGGCCTCATGAACCACTGTCTTTATTCTCTGAAGCCACCAGATAGCACTGTCTGTTCAAAAAACATTTGAAAGCACACTTCATTGCCAGTCCTTCAGCCTTTATCTTTAAACCAATACAGCCATCTGGTGGGGTCAGAAAATAAAGAAAGTGGTACATGAGGCTTCATTTGGCCATCACTACTGCCAATCCCCCTGAGTGCCAGCAGCTGCTGAACCTCCACACCTGAACCTCATCTCCAATCAAGCCACTGCGGTATAAAACCTTGGCTCAGACATTCAGACTCTGCCAGATCATTCAGTCTCCTCTGCAGTTCACCACATCCAGCATTTTTCTTGTCTTCTGCCTCCAGATTTGCACTGCTCTGCCTTCAGCTAATCCGCCTGCTCTGCTTCGCCATTCCCTGCCCACCTCAGCCATCATTTCATTCAAGCCTTCAGCTCCACGTCTTCAAACTATAATAAACTGCCTTTAACCATTCCCCATTTCCTGGTTGTGTCTCCTTAGCCTCTCCTGAGCCTGTTCGGGAGCTAAACTCTTCAGATATAGTAACAAGATAAAAGACAAATCCCTCACTCACAAGTTTAAAAAAAGTATTTTCAATTCAGTAGTTCTTTGTGAAAGATCTTTATCTTTATTAAACAAGTTCAGAAAGAAGGTAAAAAAAATAAAAATGATACAAAAATACAGAACATAGTTTAATGGTACTGGATCAACATCAAGTCTTAAAAAATGCCCATTGCAAACAATTTCAGAGTTCTTCAGTATGTACAAAAATCTCTCATTTGGTCCCCAGGCAAGCCTAAACCTCAGTGATTTTACATCTATTAAATTTCATTGCTTTAACCTGTTAGTTACAACAAAGACTTAAACAGTAAGGAAAGTGCCAGAAGTACAGCATTACTCTAATGTAACTCTCTCCTGTACACCTTTAGCTAACATTCAACAAGAAAGAGAACTTTGGCAGACGGAGTGTGAAAAATTGTCCAAATATATTAGGTGTGACAACAACATTCAAGGAGCCTTTAAACCTCTGACAGGGCCTAGTGAACCTCTGTTGATCTGAAAATACGTTGGAGGTGCGCAAAGCTTTGCAAAAACTGAGCTGACGCAAGTGGTTTTTCAAGCAAGCAACATGACATGTAGCCTGTTCGCTGATGGACGGAGCAGGTTGGGGCATCTTCATTGGGAGAACAATCTGGGCCCTGTTGCACAAAGCACCTAAGTTAAGATTTTCCCCAAGTCTTCTCCGCCAGGTTTCCTTAAAATGTTCACTTAAGATAAGTTTTTCTCCTTATCTTAGTCTTCCACTTTAGGAATTGCCAAAGATTTGTTGAAAACCGTTGCACAAAAAACCTTAGTAACCAAATTAAGGACAAAAACATAAAGTACCCTGACCCTGATAAATGAGAAAAATGAAGGCATCCTGATAAGAGTGTTCTGTGACTGAACCAACACATTCTCACTCAGATCTTGTCACATATAGACGTTTGGTCATGGACCTTCAACGTCCAGATAAGACGTGCAAGGTTCCATGGGTGCGTTGGTTGTTGACATTCTGGGATGCCGTGTAAAGTTCTGCCTGTTTCATGCATTGTCTGTTTTACATACAGTCTCTTTCAAAATAAATGTACTAACAACTCCAAATCCAACAACTAACGCACGTGGTTAGGTTTAGGCAACAAAAACATGTGGTTAGGTTTAGGAATAGTGAACAGGGTTTGGCTTTAGAATCTTACAGGACGCGATCACCACTCTCCCGGGTAAAAGTTGGTGTTTGTTGGACCCATCCACCACCCCTCATACCCGCCCTACTTGGACTTTTCCACCTTAACTTTCGTTCTTGTCCCATCGCATTTCCCCCTGACACTGCCTAAGCACCATTAAACTATAACAGCGTCCGACCGCGTATCACGCCGATGCTGCAAGTCACTGCCTGAACGCTAGATTTCGACGACTTCAGAGTGAGACCGGGTTTGGAGAAACCGATTGAGATGCTTAATGATGAGTAATTGACTTTGCACTTTAAATTTTACCTAAGTCAATTTATGATTGTGATCATCTGGGTTTGGATCACTCAACTTTCCACAGCCCCAACGGGATCTTTCCAGTCAGTTACTGGCGAGGTATTTTAAGTAAGCCTTAAGTGTCAAAAAGGAGCAAACTTAAGGTGCTTTGTGCAACTGGCCCCAGATGTTCCCTTGTTGGCTTTGCAACTAGGGAGGAAGAGGTGTAACACATTCAACTGAACTACAGGAAGAGCCAAAGGGCAAACATAGCCTTTATAATTCTCTCTATTCTCGAACTTGAGTACCTTTGTGATACCAGTGTCAGTACCCTTAAAGTGATACCAATAACAATAGAGTACTTCATTCAATACCTTTTTTCTACTTTCTACGTTCAACACCCATTATGCAAATTGAAGCATTCACTTGCATCAAATGCCACCTGACACCACAGGTGTGTATTATCGCCATGTCTAAGAACATTTTGATGGCATCTAAGCACACTGAACTGCCAACTCGACTGCCGCACTTGACTTGTAGCTGCTGCAGTAGCGGACCAATCACATGTTGCATTAAAACAAAGAACATCTGCGATGATTGTCAGTTAGCAAAACCATACAAAAAGGATTTTTTTTCTAGCTCTGGTTGCAAAAAGAACCAAATGTAGCCGGGTATTGTTTGGCTGGAGAAGTTTCGATACTACTTGGTAGTGATTTATTTTGACTGAGTACCAATACTCAGCCCTACTCTAGTCCTTCATGTTTTTTTTCACCAAAATATGTACATACAATTTTAGATAAAAGTATACAGTATGGACAAACTTTTGGCTACTTTTGAGTAACCACATCTCAAATACATTTCTCTGTAATGTGTCATCAGTCAGTAAAGTACCAAACATGTTACATTTTAGTTTCCTCGGATCCAAACACACACTGATAACACAATGCTTTGATTTCATTGGGTTAGTAGCCTTTATGGTACCTGTATTGAGACTTGAGCAAATGCAATAACATGCCCATATAATGAGACAATGTTGTAGGTTTGGTATGCAAAACGACTTGCTTTGTTCTTATTTTGCTGAAAGATGTTTGACGTAAAGTGCTTTGCAAACAAGTCAAACTGTTATAAATAAAATTGGATCACTGAGAAGTAAATTTCATATTTTAAGACCAAATAAAGGACAGAATCATCAATCTTTTTTTGACCTGAAGATGTTTAACCTATGCCTTGCCAGGCTTTGATTGGCTGTCAGTATCAGGTGTGTTTAACAGGGGTTATGATGAGAGGAGCAGAGTTCTTCCCCTCATGGGTGAGACAGGGGCTGAAGATTGGGTACAGACTCTCATTAAAAGTATCGACAAACGTGTAGAGATGCAGACGCGCCTTCACATCATAGAAAGAAATCTGGCCTCCTTCATAATCCAGGAAGATTCCCACTTTACAGGGCTGGGTCGGCAGCAGTAGAGGCAGACGGGACGATGCCAAAGCCTTTACCTCTGCGTTCTTCAGCCACAGGCACCAGTATCCCCCCTCTGGACTGAGCTTGATCTCACCCTTGCGGCGGGCTGAGGTGCTGGCCATGCCAAGCGTCCACGCCGTCTTGCGCCCCACGTCCACCTCCCAGTAGTGTCGCCCAGAGTTGAGACCCTCTCGGCCCAGGACGAAGAGGGCGGGACTGAAGCGTTTCTGACCCTCAGAGTGGGTGGACCTTCGCTCTTCATATCTCACCTGGCGGCCATCGTCGGACACAACCAGGTTCCTCTGGGCCGTGGCAGGATCCAAAATCACCTCACCTGGACAGGACAGTGCAGAAAATAATGGTATTTCAACTATCACAGTAAGGAGTTGCCCATGTCTGAACATGTCTGCTTGATGCAACATTGTATAAGTGCCTTCTAAAGCTGGCTTTTGGCATAAATAAAGGACCTGAATCCCCCCAAGAACTCACCATGCCTGTCAAAAAGGTTTCTGTCATAGCTCACCCTTTAATTTACGCACTCTTTATTTGATGATTCAGACCCAAACTATTTTGTCCCAAGAAGTGTGCCACTGAATTCACCTAAAACAGAGTTGCAGTGGTAAAACCTGTGTGTAGATCCTTTTATATAAAGGTATACGATGCAGGATTGTCGAATACAGTTTGTAAACACGCTTGCCATCAAAAGTAAAAGTAAATGCCAACTCCAGATTCACTCTTGTTTGGCATTTTGCCTCGCTATATTTGTATTTTTGTCTGTGTTGTGTCTCTTGGGTGCCTGCTGTTTAATGTCTGGCACCTGGTTGCTACCTTTTTATAAAGCCTGGACCTCACCTGAGTGCTGTGTTGGTACACACCCATGAACTTCCCAAACACAGAAAACAAGATGAAAATGTGCAATACAGGAGAGTCTTAGTAGTAGGAACTGCAAAGAACTTACACTGACACTCTTTCCTGAGTGGGAATACAACTAACTGGGAAATAAAAAGCACTATCCTCTTCCTGTTCTTGCTGCGCAATGGTTGATGCACTTACTTTGTGACATAAATCAGGCCTTCATTTTCAAGGGCGGTGAAAGCGAGGACTATAGGGCCATTAAAACTAATTAGTTGTATTTATTATGGATTTTGGTGGCCACATCAAAATCCTAGTGTAGCTTTGTACAATTCGTATTTGAAAGCCACAATACCTGTAAACACCTGCATGGGTTCACAGGGCCTTAATCCATAATAATAAATCATATTTTGTGAATTTATTGAGGTTTTTATTTATTTATTTTTTTTTTTACATAAGATCAAAAAACTAAATCTGAAGAAGTACAATGTTTGTTGCTGAAGTGAACTTAACACTCTTAAAGGGCTGCATCGCCCTGCATGGAGCTCATCTGTGCTGTGGAGAAGTGGCGCCATCTTGTGGACAATTTTGAGAACTAAATATATGAAGATCATCAAAATCTTCCTCTCTTTTCTGAAATCTCATATGGAGAGTCATGACTCACTGCCACAGACAAAACATAAGAGGAAACTACTGGTCACCAAGCTGACAGTATAAAGTTTTACTCACTTGAATAGTTCTGAACCTTCCGGAGCTCTGAGGGAGAGAGAGAGAGCAAACAGAGAGACAGAGAACCAAGTCAGCAAGTCGTTCAGCTGAAGAGTCAAAGTCAAAGCAGATGGCACGTGTGGGTGGTAAACATGTCGATCTAATCCAGAACTGTAAATGCTCGAGACATGTGCTGCTGTCAGTCAGCTCTCTACTGAGTCCAAGTGGGTGAACTCTGGCATCAACACTACATCCATCTGTCCGACCATCTTGTATGTGTGAACGTGTGAGTGCTGTGGAGAGGTGCTGGCGAAATGATGAGTCACTATTCTATTTCAAAGTGCTCGTACAGTGACCTACATATCCCTGTGCTGAGTTTTGCACAGGAAGTGCTGTTGCTATTAGACAAGGAGGGATGCCTTTTACTGTAAACAAAATTTGAACAAATAATCCAGCAGCACTGCATTTTGGGTAGGATTATTTTCAGTTGACAGGGATGGACACCAACAGCACTGATAAATTATTAGAATATAGTTTAGTTTACTGCAGTTACTTACACTAGTACATACTGTATATCAGTGGTTCCCAACTGGTGGGTCGTAGGTCTATTCTAAATGGACCACAAGTGACTCTCAAATGTGTCAAGTTTGTTAAAAACACACTTTATTCTGAAGTACAGTGAATTTCCAGCACAGAGCCTCTACTTTGAAGTGCTGTTTCCTGCTGTAGAGTGTGACTAATGGACAGCTACTTGACAGAGACAGCAAACCAGCTCTACAACACGGCCAAACCTAAGTTTGTGTTGAATATATTAAATTGGACCTAAGACGAATTACTAAGGAGAAATCTGGACCCATTGACCAGACCAGTTGGGAACCACTGATGTATATCATTATGAGCATTTGGCTGACTTTTATTTTTCTAATCATTTCTGATCTATGCACTTTGCACAACTTAGCATATAGACTGATGCAGGGATGGTTTTCTGTAGGCCGATGCGGAAGTTAGCATCACCCTGGTTCCTCCGCCAAGAAGCCTATGGGATTTTACTAGTGATTGCCAAATGAGGCCTCATGAACCACTGTCTTTATTTTCTGAAGCCACCAGATGGCGCTGTCTGTTCAACAAAGGTTTGAAAGCACACTTCATTGCTAGTCCTTCAGCCTTTATCTTTAAACCAAGAGCGCCATGTGGTGGGGTCAGAAAATAAAGTAAGTGGTTCATGAGGCTTCATTTGGCCATCACTAGATTTTACAATTGGATTTGGCTTCTTGCAGAAAATACACTCTGCGGCAAACAAGCATTTATAACAGGGCTACTTACATGTTCTGTTCACAAATGAACACAACTGTCATAATATTAGTATCGTAAATGCAATTGCTAGAAGTACACAGCTTACGTTAGGCAGTAAACAAACTACACTTTGGTCGCATGACTTAACATCACCACCACAACGAGGCTTCAAAGCAGTGTTCGGTATGATAATGCTCTTCAGTCTCATTAGCTACTTGCTAGCAATCGCATTTTGTATGACACATAACTGATGTATTTTATATTGTAGAACAAAACCTGAATGTCTCTTTAGCTTGTGTTACCACAGACCTTATTTCAGGCATCTCACCAAAAACCCATTTTGAAATGAGGGAACCGGGACCAAAGTGTGAACTAATTTCCAAGTTTAGGACTCATTCCTGCAGCAATCTATTGTATCTGAAGTGGACTGAGAGAACACTAGACTTCAAGTTCAGGTTTATGTAGCTAACGTTAGCTAGAGCCTCTAATCACAAACCACAGCTCAGGGGGACCGCACAGCCCTGACTCCCTGCTAAAGCAGCAAACTTTCTGTTGCTGCCATTACACAGCTGTGACCAGCTCTGGGGGGTTTGCGCTTCAAGCCACCACAGCTGCCGAATGGAGGTCCATCTCTGAGCTGCTGCCCGCTCCCCTCCCAGCAAAGCAGTCCACACCAGCTAAGAGTGAGTTGGAAGGACCCAGTCTCACTCCGAAGTTGTTAAAATCCGGCACTTGGGCAGTGACTTGTGACATCAGAAACCAACAAATATAGGCGTCATCATAGTTTAACGGCACCCGGCAGCATCAGGGGGAAACGCGGCAGGACAATGACGAAAGTTGGCTAGTGATGGCCAAATGAGGCCTCATGAACCACTGTCTTTATTTTTGGAAGCCACTAGATGGCGCTGTCTGTTTAACAAAGGTTTGAAAGCACACTGCATTGCAAGTCCTTCAGCCTTTATCTTTAAACCAAGACCGCCATCTGGTGGGGTCAGAAAATAAAGAAAGTGGTTCATGAGGCTTCATTTGGCCATCACTAGTGTTCGCGTCCCGTAAGATTCTAAAGCTAAACCCTGTTTTTTTCCCCTAAATCTAACCATGTGTTTTTGTTGCCTAAATCTAACCATGTGTTTTTGTTGTTGAAGGAAAAAAACATCAATTTGCAGTATTGTACCGACGTAGTGCATTTATTTTAACTGCCCATAGTAATCATGTTACAAATAAATTCCTATTTATTAACTTGTTTTAGTTTGTGACACATCTGTCAAAAAAACCCTTTGTTTTATCATAACAGTGAGAACCCCTGCCCTCACCTTTCCCGTACAGCCTCTTGAGCTCCTCCTGGAACTTGTCTATAAGGCTGCTGACGGAGGAGCGGATGGTTCCCAGGTAGAGGTCAGTGTTGATGCTGACCGCTGACCAATCGGTGGGCTCGGGTGGGGGCGGCAGCGTCGCCAGGCTCTGCAGGAAACGGAGGAGAAAGGTTATGCAAGGTAGAGTGAAATTAAAATTGAATGACCCCTCAGGGGAAATAAAGTCTTTGCAGTGAAAAGAACAAACTAAATATGATTTCCACAACTGTATGCAATGAGAAATCTTGACAGTGAGCAGATTTATCTCTATAAATAATTGAAGAAGCAATTTTTGTATCAGAGGAGTTGCAGATACAGAACAGTGAATGTATTTGTCCTCAAACTTTGTTCTCGCAAACAACTGTGTTTGGGTGTGTGCGGTTATAGCTATGCCTTCACTTCCTCTCAACTATGTGCAAAAATTCTGACTTCAAAGATGTTTTCATGAGAGAAAAATCAACATTTTATCAACATAAACAGTCCAGGGTAAACGCACAAGGGGGTACTTCCATAACAGCTGGCTCTGTTCGTAGATGCTTTTGATGTTGTGTTATAAATCTCTTAGCAACCCGAGCTGGAGGTCTGCTGGATAATTGGCTGTGTGGATATTATTTGGATGATTGCTGACGATAAAACAGAGATATTTCAAAGTGTATTTATATAGTTGCAGCCTGGTTGATAACATTAATATTAACAGTATAATGTCTGTTTAGGTTGTCTTTCCCATTTCTATTACTGTAAATGGAACATCAGCATGTGTTTGGCATTTTAACTAATTAGCTCCCTTGCTGTGTCCTAAATGCATATTAAGTGTGTTCTGTGTATGTAGGCTACACACCGGAAAACTGACTAATGAAGTCATAAATAATATGCCGGCATTCATTTTTAAAATTGCATTTGGAGTGTTGTCTTGATTTCAAATATTGATCGTCAATAGAACTGGAACAAAAATGGAAGAGCTCCGCCAACAGCCACAAAAAAGTGGGGCATTAATAGAGGGTGGTGTAAATGTTGCTCCAGTAACAGCTGGCACACATAGAGAGATTTATTTTGGAATTTGAAAAGCAGATTTCATCATTTCCTGTTGTAACCTGAGCATAAAACATATTGGATCCTGTATCTGGACCTCCAACATGGCTGCCACAGGGTGTGCCTGTCTATCTGCTCTACCTGCAGGAAGACCACTTTGTCCTGGGTCTGTGCGCAGGCCTCCAGCTCGTTGCTCCTCCTCCTCAGCTGGCTGAGCTCGTTCTCCAAAGTGCGGGCCATTTCCTGAGCATGACGCTCGGCCTCGCGTTGCCTCGTGGCGATCAGCTCCACCAGCTCCGCCTGACTCTGCTCCACCATGCGCTGCAGCTCTGCGTACACCTGCCAGCTCTCCTCCAGCTCCTTCTGAGAGCTGGCCTGTAAAGGAGAGGACATGAGGTAAGGGGGAACGTGACATTTCAGTTAAGATCAGCTTAAGAGGGAGTCCACATAAATCAAATTTACCCTGAGAACAAAGTATCAAAGTGTGTGAAACAACCCTCTGTGGCTCTGAAGGAGCTCTCCAAAGAAATAACCCTGATGATGTCACAGTAAAGTAGGTGTTGTGTGGTGACCCATCATTGTTTCTCCAGCTGCTTTTTGGCCACCAAATGTGGGTGTTCTGTGGTGACCAGCCGCTGTTTTTCCAGCTGCTTTTAGGCACTAAACATGGGTGTTTGGTAGCAACCCATCACTGTCTTTCCAGTGGATTTTTGGGCACCAACTCTGGGTGTTTGGTAGTGACCCATCAATTTTTATCAGCATGTTTTTGGGAAGCAAATGTGGGTGTTCTTTTGTGACCTGTCGCTGTTTTTCATGTGTTTTTTTTAGGCATCAATTATGGGTGTTTTGTAGCAACCAATTACTTTATTTCCAGCAGCTTTTTAGGCACTAAATGTGTGTGTTTGGTAGCGACCCATCACTGTTTTTCCAGCAGCTTTTTGGGCACCAACTGTCTGTGTTCTGTGGTGACCCTTCACTGATTTTCCAATGGATTTTGGGGCACCAAACATGTTTGTGTTTTTTTAGCGTCCATCACTGTTTTTCCAGCTGTTTTTTAGGTGCTAAACATGGGTGTTTGAAAGTGACCCATCACTGTTTTCCCAGCGAATTTGGGGACCCCAAACATGATTTTTTTAACAACCCATCGCTGTTTTTTCAGCAGCTTTTTGGCCACCAAATGTAGGTGTTCTGTGGTGACCTACTGCTGTTTTTCCCACTGCTTTTTAGGCACTAAACATGGGTGTTTGGTAGCAACCCATCACTTTTTTTTCCAGCGGATTTGGGGGAACCAAGCATGGGCTTTTTTGGCAACCCATCATTGTCTTTCTAGCGGTTTCTGGCCAACAAATGTGGGTGTTCCGTGGTGACCCATCACTGTTTTTCATGTGGCATCAAATGTGGGTGTTTTGTAGAGTCCTATCACGTTTCTTTCATCAGGGATAGTGCCACATAAAATGTTTGTTTTGTGCCTAGAACTAACCACTTGTTACCACAGCACTGAAACGTAAAGTTTCAGTGTGTCCACACATTAATATGTGAATCTCCTGCTTCATCTGTTTTATTTTTAATTTCATATCATGTTTTTATCTGCTACAGTATGTAAATTTGTGTCTTTTAATATCACCTCATGTTTCTTTTATCTCTTGTCTAAATTATTTTTTTGTGTTATGTATAAGCTGCCTTGTTGTTGAGGGTGTGATACAAATTTGCCTTGCCTTAAACTGTCTGTTGTCTGCATTGTTTCTGTATCCTTAACTGGGTTAGGCCTAAAATAAAAAAACATTAAGAGCAATCAGAGTCCAACCAATTAACCTGTGAAAGGCTAGTTTCAAAAGTTAATGCTCACCTGTGCGACTGGACAAACAGGTCACGAGCGAAGGAAACTACCAAGCTTTTTAACTCAAACTTATCCTGAATAGGTTTCAATATTATTCTCCGATCTCCAGTTATGTTTGTACTCACCAACAAATGAGCAACATTATGCTTTTAGAGAGGATGTCATTCATTTATTAATATGAGGTTTATGTCAGGTTTAACTTGGGTTTGTGATTGCGTCATTGTCTTTATTTGCATGTCTATCAGTGGCATCAGTCGAGCCCTCACATACAACACCATGCACATGAGCAGTCATGTGTTTGCAGTACACACACGCACACACACACACACACACACACACAGATTTGGATATCCTGATATTCAACCCTCTGGTAACTGAATCCTCATTGTAGTCGTAAAAGTAGATAAAAATGTCGTCAAGCAGGAAACCAAAACAACCAAAACCTCGATAGCACTGCAGTCATTTTACAGCTAATGTTAGGATCCTTTAATTTAAATGAACAAAAGCAGTGTAATCCCTCACGTTTTCACACCCTATCCTTGGGTTTACTGTAATGAGGCTGAACGTAAAAACAGGGTGTGGGAAACTAAAGGTAAATGTGAACCCTGGTCGCACCGGTTGGGCAGCCTCAGACATGGAGACAGACAAACAAACTGCAGTCACCAGCTCACCACAGAACACGACAGGTATGCAAAAGACGTATCTAACGTGTAAGCGTGTCACAGATTTTCCAACAAAGCAAAATCTTCAGCGAGGTGGGCGAAGTGTGATCCCATCAACAGCTGTGTGTCCTGCCAAAGTGCCCTTGAGCCACAGCCTGATAATGTTTTGTATCCTTGCCTAGATCAGAGTGCTGCTTGAAGTGCAAATAAAGCCTAACAGCGCTACATGAGAGGAGACTGGGCAAATATTTAACATGCAGTACCGAGGGGAAGTACAACAGCAGTGCTGCCTGATCAACACAGACTTCAAAACACATGGCGTGCATGTTTTAAATGGTACAAAGCAAGTACTTATACTAGCCAGACAGTGTCATCCAGGTCTGATAAGATGTTGTCATAACACATTTATTACATAAAAAAAACAACATAAAATTTGATGCTAGTTTTATCTTTTTCAAATTGAATTCGTCAAAACAACTTGATCTAAAGGTGCTAGTTACTAAGAAAGAGATCAATTGTCTTTTAATGCCTTGAGGGGAAAAAACTGTCACCCAGTTGTTGATAGCCTGCCTATTGTGGTTGTTATTGTGCATCATAATGCCACCAGGTCCTGTCATCTACCTTTAAATGTCAATACTAGGCTCTCAATTTACTGTCTTTAAATGCCACATGCCAGCGTGGTCCCTGTGTTCCCCTGTGGTTCCCTCAGTCTCTGCACAAACATTTTAAAGGCTCCCATTCACTTGGATAGTTTATATAGAGTTAGAGCAGTGTAAGTTTTGGCATTGAAAAAAGAAACATTGGCACTAAATAAACGTCCCATTGAAAAATAAAAGCCATGCATAAAAATGTATTTTCAATTTAATTATATATTATACAATATGTTTTTTTGTTTGTTTGTTTTTACGTCATGTCACTGTTTTTTTTTTTCAGGGTGTTTTTTTTACATTGACATTTATTCACTTTTTTTCTGTTATAACTTTGTTACTTTTTGTGTGGATGAAGAAAAGATTAAAAAATTTTAATGCCTTTCTTTCTTTTTTCAGTGTCAGTGTTTTCTTTTTCAAAACCAAATTTTATTTTCAATGCCAAAACCTACTGTCACTTTTCTAGCTCCATTAATTCACAGTTGCACATTAGATTCACATTCACATTTTTTTTTAGGATTTATCAAAATAAGCCTGAAATGAAATAAAATAACTTTCCTCTTGCTTCTGATTTTTTTAAATTTTTAATTTATTATTATTATTATTATTATTATTATTATTATTATTATTATTATTATTATTTTAAAATTAAAGCTTTTTTCACTTTTTTTTATTTTTAATTTTATGTCTTTTTTTGTGTGGAAGAAAATACATCACAGGAATACCAATAAAAAATGATGCAAATAATATAAAAATAAAATTACAATACTTTTGAATGCCTTTTTTTTTTTTTGCGGATTTCTTTTCAGTGTCAGTGGTTTCTTTTTAGAGGCCAAATTAAATTTTCAGTGTTCTAGCTCCATGAATTCACAGTTACACTTTAAATCTACAATATTTTTTTAGGATTTTTCAAAACGATCCTGAAATTAAGTTAAATTAAGTTCATGTTACTTTATAATTTTTTTCTTTTGTTGTATGTTTTTTTATGCAAAACAAGATGTCAAGAGGGTTTTCCTGTTAAAAAAAAAAGTGTTTTTAATTTCAAATCCTGTTTTTTTTTTTTTTTTTTTACTTGAAGTTATATATGTGGATTTGTTAAAACAGGAGCCACTGTACAGGCATCATCAAAAAAGTTGTTGCTCCCACTGGTTTCATGTTTTAAAGAGCTGAAAATCGACACCCAAACTCTCAAACACGCTGTGTTTTGTCACCCAAGGCTCTAAACACAAGGACTCACAGGTGAGATCTTGTTTCCTAAATACTGTCTGTTGTCAGCCCAGTCAGCAGAGGAAAATGTTGGCATGGTATATTTCCACATACCACGAGTATGTTGCATTTACCTTGTACATTCCATGTGTACTATATCAACGTTCATAAGGTGTATATAAGGTGACATAGTAGATAAGCTGACTTTGACATAAGGACATGGAGGGGATGGTGGATGCCATGACATCTAGGTGAGATATCTGCCAAGCTGCAGACAACTGTTCGAGACCAACAAACATCAAAATTGGTTTTGATTTAGCAATCATCACTGTGTTTCCAGTGTAAACCCAACCACATGTTAACCACAGCACTGTTGAAACCTATTGTATCGGCCCTCAGATGACTCACCTTGATGACCTTGATGGATTGTTTGATCTCGTCCAGTTTCTTGGTTCTTTCCTTGATCAAATGTTTCAGCTCCGACTTCTTCTTACTCAGATTACTCTGTCAGAAGACGATAAAAAAGGATTGAAGCATACTGGAATCAACATCAACACAGCTTTATATCATGAGAGTCACATTACATTGAAACCCTCAGCGAGGTGTTAATCAGGTGCCTTCGAGGCAGGATATAGAATCTGAACCCATTCACAAACAGTTTAAAACTAGACCTCTCTAGCCACCACTCACCATCCTCTTCTTCCACTCGTGGTCAATGGAGACGATGTCGTGGGACTTGTGCGTGGCCTCGGCGCAGGCCGTGCATATGCAGGTGTGGTCCGTGCGGCAGTAGACATCCAGAAGACGTTCGTGTTTCTTACAGATCTTGTCCTCCAGGTAGAAAGTGGGTTCAATCAGACGATGAGACGTCAGAGACTTCACCTGGGAGTTACAGCGACAAGGAAGAGTCATGAATTTCAATGGCCAGTTGTAGACATAAAAAACTCAGGGCTGTGGTTTGGTTGATTAGTCTCTGAACAAGACTCTTAGCCCAGAGTACAGTCAATGAATCGGCTGATAGTAATCTAAATTCTGATATGACCGTAGTTAATATTTAATGTCTGAATGAAAACATCAAATTCCAACAGGTCTGAGATCACTGACTACATATTAAAAAGGCTTTAACTTGCGGAGTAACCTTTACTCCACAGCTCAGGCTGCTCACATGCACTGTTCATATGAATACCTACGAAAGCTAATGCACCAGAACTCTTATATTACCTACATAATCATGAGCAGTAGTTGTGTGTAACCCACATTATCAGGGAGGCACAAATCACGTAACCAATGTGCTGACAGTAGTAAGAAATTAAGTAGTATAAAATCAACAAGTCCACATAAGGTGGTGGGTTGGGGTGGTGGATCGGTCAAACACACACAGGACTTTCCCCCAGCAGACTCGTGTTCAGGATTGTATATCTCTTTCCCTAAACCTAAACCACGTAATTGTACTTGCCTAAATGTAACTTACGTATCTCTGTATTAAGTACGTAACTTTACGTGAAGTACGAAATGTGAGGATGGCCAAACAAATTTATTTTTCTAAAGCTAACCCATGTAACTTTGTTAACAATGTAACTTAACATTTAATGTGTAACTTTACTTTAAGTACATACCATGACAACACCAAACCATGTTTCTTTTCCTAAACGTGACCTACATCAGTTAACATTATGTACATAAAATGACAATGCCCAACCATGTTTATTTCCCTAAAGCTAATCTACATAACTTTACGAAGTGTGCGTAATGTGAGGATGGCCAACTACATTTATTTTCCTAACCAAAACTACCTAGCCTATGTAACACTGTTAACAACGTTACTTTACATTTAGCATGTAACTTTACGTTAGGTACATAGCCCAACCATGTTTCTTTTCCTAAACCTAATCTACATAACTTTACGTTAAGTACGTGATGTGAGGATGGCCAAACATGTTTGTTTTCCTTAACCAAACCTGCGTAACTTTATTTTCTTAATCCTAACCTATGTAACTTTTTTAACAACTTAACTTTAAGTACGTAACGTGAGGATGGCCATCTATGTTTATTTTCCTTAACCAAACCTAAGTAACTTTATTTTTCTAAACCTAACCTATGTAACATTGTTAACAACGTACTTTTACATTCACTACGTAACTACGTTAATTATGTACCATGAGGATACCCAACTATATTTCTTTTCCCAAAGCTAACCTATGTAACTTAACATTAAGTACCTAGCATGACGACGGCAATTGTGCGGTGCTAATTCGTTAAATATCACACAAACAGTTGTACGAGGATACACTGCACTGGGAAAATCACTGTAAACTCATAGTGCAGAAAAAGATTTATAAATTCCACAAAAAAGTGTACTTAAAATTGTAGTTTAAGATCAAGTCAAATGACACCATAAAATGCAGAAATTATTATTGTTCCAATATATCAATTTACAATGCGTGATATATGATGTAACATCAGTAAAGGTCTCTCACAAGCAGATGTAAAGTATATACAGAACATGATGTTGTCAAAGAGTGCGGAAAAGTAAATAAAGTGATTATGAAGAAAAATCTTGCAAAATAAGAAGTAATTAAATATAAGACAAATGGAAGTGATAGAGGCATTGTCAAGGAGACAGAAAACAGATATTTATGATGCAATAATTCTAAAAACTGACCTTTTTGTGATGTCGGAGGTGAACCTCACAGAACGATCCAAGACAGTTCACACAGGACTTGAGCGCCTTCACCTTCCTCCCAATGCAGGCGTCACAGGGAACCTCCCCCGCCCGGGCAAACTCCCCGTTGTCAGACCCTGTGGAGCCCCCGTGGCTCATATCTAGGCTCATGTTCAGAGTGGATCCCTTTGAGTTTCCCCTGGTGCCCACGGCCCCTCCAGCGCCCACGGCCCCTCCAGCTCCCCCGGCCAGCATCAGCCCCTGGAACTGGGAGGAGATATCAGCCAAGACCCTGTTGACACTCATCTCTGGTTTTTTGGAGTAGCTCTTCTTGCACATGGGGCAGAGGAACTTCTTGCTGTGGTTCCAGTAGCCCTGCAGGCAGGCCTTGCAGAAGCTGTGGCCGCAGGGAGTGGAGACGGGCTCCACGAACACCTCCAGACAGATGGAGCAGCTGAACTGGTCCTCGGAGAGGCCATTGCCTCCCGGAGAGCTCATGCCTGGAAAGAAATGGGAGAGACAGAGAAACATGACATACTTTAGGTTAGATGCACAGAGCTCAAGTTAAATTGGCAGACAGACAAAACATTCTATATCTAAAAGTACTGCTGGACTTGTTTGACCTCTAACACATCTCACCACCCACCCAAGAGGGTCGTTCACACCTCTCTGTCCTGTGCAAGTCACTGACTACACAGCGGTCATGTCAGAGTCATGAGACATTAATTATCTGAGGTGTGAATTGCTGTGAAACTGCCTGAGACAGGATTTCAGGACAGAAGTTTAGCTGTTGAACTTGCAGATTAAGAAAAACAGGATTTATTATTTGACTGAAAACAAGGCTGTACTTTCAAGGGTAAGTCTCAATCCGACATCGGGGGAGACACATATTGTTCCATCAGACAAATTAGAGCATCAAACACTTAATTTCCTGCATTGTGATGAATTTTGATGCATCAGTTTATGGTGTGAATGTCATCAGTTTTCTCAAAATGCATGGATGGATTACTGAACAGGCCTACAAGGCACAGGCCCAGGGACCCAAAGAGTCAGGAGCCCCCTAACCTTCACCTGCAAAATGTCACTTGAAGAGACAAGTACTGACAAGGAGGAGACTCAAGGTGACCACAAAGAAACAACTGCTATGAGACACAAAACAACTACAGACAGAAATTGCTCAGGACGATTAAAAAAAGGCACAAAAAGGAAAAAAAAGACAAAGAGGCTGAAAATAAAAAATGGGTTTAAAATGACTATTGACAGATGCAAAACAGCTACAAAGAGAAACAAATTGCCTACACAGAGACCCAAAATGACACATAGGGACCCCAAATTACTTCAGAAATACTCAAAATGACCACAAAGAGATGCAAAGTATCTAAGGAGACATAAATTGACCGCAAAATGATTGGAGAGAGACTCACAGTGACTATGAAGAATCTCGAAAATTACCATAAGGAGACAGAAATTGATTACAAAGAAACTTAAATTGACTACAAAGATGCACAACATTACTACAGGGGGGCTCAAAATGACAACATAGGACAAAGAGCCTCTATGCTACAACATAGAGACCCAAATTACTGACCACAAAGACACACAAAATTATAATCAAGAAATTCAAAATGACTACAAAGAGATGCAACGCAACTACAGAGAGATCCAAAATTACTACAAAGAATCCTACAGTGACCATAAAATGAACAAAATGAATACAAAGAAACTCAAAATGACTACAAGGAGATGAGAAGCAACTACAATGATTTAAAATATCCACAAAAGACACTAGATGACCACAAAGATACACAACTCACACTCACTGCTTTAACTTGAACTGACTTGTTGCAACATTTCCATGAGGCACGGTGCACTTTTCATTTTAACTCAGGCTTTTAAGTAAGCTTTTTTTTGTTTCTGCTGTGATGGAAAGTTCTGGTATTTAACCATATTTAGCCGATAATGTGTTCTGCATGTTTTGTATACCCATGTTCTAAGGTTACTTGTTTTGATGAAACTGAACTTCTCACCTAATGATATGTGTTGCTCATTTAACCCCTACTGTGATAGCAGTGTGACATACAGCAGGGGCCTAATCGAAGCAGGTTAAAGGTTATGAGTAGTGATGGCCAAATGAAGCCTCATGAATCACTGTCTTTATTTTCTGACCCCACCAGGTGGCACTCTCGCTTTAAAGATAAAGACGGAAGGACTGGCAATGAAGTGTGCTATCAAACCTTTGTTGAACAGACAGTGCCATCTGGTGGCTTCAGAAAATAAAGACAGTGGTTCATGAGGCTTCATTTGGCCATCACTAGTTACGAGCCAGGGAGGCTCCCACATCAAGTGTCCTTGTGAGCATCAAGAGACGTTGTGTCTTAGGGATGCTTACTGCAGAACCACCTGCGTGCTATATTTTGACTATTGACATGCATGTGTTTTGGGAACTATAAAGATAGCATGGCTGAAGAACATCTAGGCACTCACTCACTGACTGACTGTTCACGCGGTTGTATGTGTGTGACTCCATTCAGGAATGCTTACTAAAACTCAAGAAAGACAGCCGCCGTGTGAAGACTTTTTCTTTAAACTGCTTATTAAATAGACCGAAGTTGTTTTGCCACCACACTGCTTTTTTATTTATTTTTCTTAATATGAGACTGACAAATAAGAATTTCACTGTACGGTGCAAACTGCTGAGTTCTCGCCTGTGCATATAACATTAAACTCCTTGAATCTTGAACACGACTACAAAGCAGGGGCGTAAATACAGACAGCGCAGGTGGCGTGGACGCGCTGGGGCCTGACTGCCACCTGGAAATACGCCCATGTTAAAAAAAGGACTAATGTTAAATCAAAAATGGTGCGATTTTCTACATATGCCCTCAAAAAGGCAAACCCATCTCCATCGTTTTCTGCTCTTGTAAAATAGTATCATTCTATAACAAAATTATATGTTTATTCTACATAAACTAAAAAAAAAAAAATCTAGAATTTAACGATAAAAACTACTTAGTTGAACTAATAATTTTTCTCAAGACTGACACGCCTGGCTCATCTGCAAGTGGGTATAACATAAAGCGGCAGTAAGACTCACTGTTAGTAAAATATATACACGCCTAAAACTCTGTGTGTGTGCGCACTCCATAATAACTAGTAGCTAGGGCACATCATAATAACATGCAGTGGGGCCCATTGTAACTACCTTACGCCACAGAGCGATGTGTAACCACTACAAAGAGACTAAACAGCCAATAAATCTGCGTGTCTTGCTTCTGTTAAGGAGAGGTGGTGGGGCCCTCTGCTAGGTGCCCAGGGGCCCATTATCTCATGATCCACCCAGGTCTACTGTATGTGAACAATATGTTGTTTTGTAGCCACACAATCTGACACTTATCTGGCTCGATGAAACCCCAGCGGTGACACTGACAAACCTCTTCTCATGTCAGGGAGAAATGAGCTGCAGATATGTTAGTCTCAGACTACGGGGTCAAAGGTCTGTGTCTGCCGTCGGCCTGTATTGTTCCTCTGGCGATTGAGCTAGGTCATAAAAAGAAAAGATGTTCGGCAGCAGTGAACACAAAGTCTTTTCACACAAGCAGGAAGTGGATTAAAGAGCGTCACAGGCAGGTGAGGAACTATCTGAGGAATGCAGAAAGTCAGGACCTTCAGCAGCGGCTGCAGGTTTAAAAGAAAACACCAACTCCCACTGGAAATTCAGCCAGAGTTGATTCAACTAGAGTTTACATAAAATTAATAAAATTGGATTTATTTAAGTTTTACAGTGATGTAGCTTATTCTTTTTTATATTATGTAACAGCATATAAGACGAGATTTAAACATCAGCCGGTGTAGAATCATTTCAGGACATGGAGCCAGCTAAAATAACATTATTATTTCCATTCTAGTCGAACAAAAACATGCGCTCAGCTTTAATTTTTATTAATATATGCCACTGAAAAGGTGCTTCATTGTAAAGAAGTATGTCAAACTTCAGTCTGTTTGTTACCTCTGCTGGACATAACAACCCTACTGAGCTGTACTTAACACAAGATTCACAAAACAGTCCAAAGAAGAGGCAATCTCTAATAAAAACATATATACATAT